GTTGATGATGATGATGATGATGATGATGATGATGATGATGATGATGATGATGATGATGATGATGATGATGATTTCCCTCTCCGCAGGCTCTGAGGCCAGCGATAGCGAGTACAGAGACAAGGTCGATGAGCTCACTCGCCAGGCCTCGAAAGCCCTCCCTTTCTTTGAGGATCCTGTGGAGGTTTCTCTGTCGATGAGTCTCCGCTCTCTCTTTGACGTGGACACCATCCAGAACAAGGTCTCATTTGTCGTCTGGAAGAAAGAGTCGTGGGACGACACGGGCTTGGAGTGGGACGACGAGGAATCGGAAGTAAGCCCGGTCAATCTGAAGGCCAAATCAGTCTGGCAGCCGGATACTGTATCGTATAATTTGGTGCGTAGAGAAGAGAGCCTGGCTCCTAAAGAGGTTGTTGTGTACAGTTCGGGGAAGGTCGAGTTGTCCACCCCGCTCCGACTCACTGTCGAATGTGATCTAGGTGGTGTCGAAACCTACTCCGGCGCCACGTGCGAGCTTGTGATTGGCTCGTGGAATTATGACGTCAGGCGTTTGACACTCGCTGACCCTACAGACGAATCTTTCAGCATCAAAGAGTTCAGCAAAGCGTCCAAGTACGAGGTATTGTCGTACAGAGTTAAGAAATCTGCCAGCTATTTCCGGTCCAGCAAGAAACCTTTCGACATAATCACCTTCTCGTTTGCCTTCAGGCTAAAGTATGGAGATTACAGTCGACCCCCCAGCAAACGTGAACAGAAGAGATCTATCAGATCCTTCTTCCAGCACAAATAAGGACCATAAATTATACACCCCTCACAGACTGACTGCTTATTTTTGGACGATTTTTCTTTAGTTCAGTTTCGGTACGAGCTTTATGGCCTTTGCCACACAATTAGGTCATACGTGCCGCAGATCAGAGCTTTACGTAGGGGAGAACACAAACAGAATAAGCAGGGAGAAGAGATAAGGACGGTAGACATTTGATAGGAAAGATGAAGCAAACTACACCAGAGCACCCACCAACCACCAACTGGTGAATTTGTCTTTCACTAGAGAAATGAAATATACAAACTGTAGTAAAATGAATTCAGCAAATTTTTAAAAAAGTTTTTAAAATTTTACGTATTCAAAATTGAAAAAAAAAAAAGAAAAAAGAAGAACGACTGATTGTAGAAATCGATTGTGTAATCCTTTTCGTGATCAGTATTTTAAAGTCAGTACAATTTGGGCTTTTCAAGAGAAAAATATAAATCAGTAGTTTCATTTAGCTCGAACGTTTTAATAATATGTCGATCGTTTATAGCAATTTGAAGATTGTTTCCGAGAATTTTCATTCCTGAACTATTTGTTCAAAAATCACTGGCTATCATGGGTTCAGTCTGAGTATTACAAAACAGTTTTCGATGGTTTTGAATACAAATTTGAAAAAAAAACCCAACAAAAACAAAACATGACAGTATGGATTCGCTGTGCATGCCCTGAGCAAAAGGAGAAGTCCGATTATTGACCATACTGTGATCTGCACCTTGTCTGGAACATTTTAGCGACGTTGGGCACCCGATGATGATGTTCTACTTAAACACGATGTTCATCAACAAAAGCAGATTAAAATCCCCCAAAAGATCGTTTACAGATTGGTACTGGTACACTTGTTGTGTTTGTTTTATCAATTTTTGTTTCAATGTTGTTGTTTTTATTTTGTTTTTTTTTAGGGTGGATGTTTAGAGAGGGCTTCTGGAAAACTCTACGCCCTACTTCTTTACTCCCCCCCCCCCTGCTCTGTCTGGTCTATTGGTTCTTAATTCGACATTTCCCTTTCAACTTCAGTAGACCGATACCTTAGAACTACAAGGTTCTAACTGCTCAGTTAATAGATTTAAGAAATTTGACGTAAAAAAATGCAAGTTTCACAACATGTTAAGCTTTTTGGAATGCAATTCTTTAAATATCATAATAGCGACTCCGAATAACCTTACGATTTTGATAGAGTATAAGATAGATATAATATGAGGTAGCGTGGTGGAATCAGGCTCTCGTCAAAATAATCAAAGTGAAGAAACTTCCATTTTTTCGCGGGTTTGTGAACGTTTATCACATTTTTGTGTTTTGGCTCAACACCTTTCATGCCCATTAAAAAACTCATTTCTGAGTGGATTTTTCTGAAAAACGTTGATTAAAAGCACAAAAAATGTAAATGTTCAGTTACCACGGACGCTAAAGCTAAGGAAATAACTCATCTTTGGTGGCTATTTTCTCACTAGTTTTACCTCTAAAAACAGGTGACCCCCATTTCCTTCATTCACAAATATTTCTACTTGTATTCAAGATAAATAGATATTTTTTCAACTAAATAAAGACAAGTGAACAAGCTTTAAGATGATACCGATAACTCTACATACCAAAAAATTGACGAGAGCCTGATTCCTCCATGCTGCCTAACATAATATATCATAATAGCGACTCCGAATAACCTTACGATTTTTGATAGAGTATAATATAGAATATTACATAATGTCATTGATTTTTACCCCTTTATTTTAATAACTCAAAACGGCCAAAATTTTCAGAAAGAACTTTGTAATTCTGAGGTAGCGATACGTTAATGATTTCTTTTACAAACTATATCACAACCGGTGTCTGTGAGAGGCCAATCATTTCGCTTTCGCCCGCAGGAAAACCAGGTTCGATTTCCTACTGAAGAGAAATTTAAATCAAGTCTAAATCAAGTATCTTGGCCGTTTTGCTGGAAAGTTGTATCCCTCTCATCCCGGGTAGGCCCTGATTTCGACAGGTAGTGTTTGAAGCCTCCGAAATGATCTAAGTTGTGTCCATGGGTGAGTAAATACACCTGCATTAAAATTTTATGGAAAAGTAAAGGGACACCACACAAAAAATTGCACACAAAACACATTTTGTCCAGTATCGCGCACAATAATTTTGTTTAATGTTAGAAAAAAAGTCCACACTTTGACACATGGAAAACCAGCGTCTGAACTGTTGTATGGCACGATGAGTTAGATTACTGTCTGGTGTAGTCTGTTCAGATCAAAGCATCTCCGTATTTCTGCTGGGAAATTGCATCTACCTCAGCCAAATTTTGACTCTGATGGGCAAGTTCTAATCAGCCAGCCTCCTAAATGATTCATTGTATAGCGACTGGGGCGTGGAGTATAGTTTACATTTATATAACCAATCACCACTCTTTCAACCACGGGGGTTGGGGAGGGGGGGGGGGGGTTGGGGAGGAGGGAGAGAATGAAATGTGACGTCAAAATTTTACCACAAACTCTTACTAATATCTGGCTGTCTTTCGACTACATTAGTAATACATGTATATCCCCACCCTCTACTGTGATTGACAATCCTGAGCAAATTCAAATGCAGCACTGTACCCCACGAGCGCACATTGACCCTGTCAGGACGTAGCAGACACACGACAAGTCTGACACGATAAGTAGACCAAAGGGAATGTTTGAACACATTTCTAACCATAACACACAGTTCAGAAACAAGAATTTGCATCTTTTATAGCTCTTTTCTTTTTGCCTGTCCTTTAAAAGTTTCAAATACAGAAAAATCAATAATAATAACAAAGTGATGCCACGAGACAAGAAAATACCCCCCCCCCCACCCCCCACCCCCAACAACAAAAAAACCAACACCAAACAAAAAAAAAACCCGCACAATTAAAACAACCCCAAAAAACCAACAAAAACAACACCAAAAAAAAACAAAAACAAAAATACCCCACCCAAAAAACCACAACCACAACAAACAAACAATAAAAGCATAAAAAAAACACCAAAAAAACCCAACAAGCAACCCCACCCCCCCCCCTAAAAAAACCCAAAAAAACAACAACAAAAAACAAAGAAAAAGAACAAACAAAGAAAGTAACAGCAACAAAAAGAACTAAGTTATACCTCCAAACAGAGTGTCTTCCAAGAATTAAGAGCAATGAACTATTTCATCAAGTCCACACCCCCGCTACCAGTCGTCCGTTGGCACTCACCAACACCACCATCACCCCCACCACCACCACCTCTACCACCACTACCACCATCACCCCCACCACCACCACCTCTACCACCACTACCACCATCACTACCACCACCACCACTACCACCACCACCACCACCCCCACCCCCACCACCACCACCATCACCACTACCACTACCCCCACCACCACCACCACCACTACCATCACCACCCCCACTACCACCCCCACCACCACCAGCCTTTGATCAAGGTCATCGGATAGAAGGGACCTGTTTCCGGCCTATAGGCGACTGCTGTAGTCCTGGTGAGTTCCCCTGACAGCTCCTGCCGAGGACACACGACATCCTGAGCAGAAAGACGCGCGGCTGTGAGCCGGCGACCGACCTAGAGATGACGCCACGGTTGTGGCTGTGTCCCTGAGGGGTCAGTGTCGCTCCAAGTGACCGAGCCGAGGGGTGGGTCATGAGCAGGACAAAGAACATCAGCTGTACTCCAACTTCCGGTGAAGAGTTCCAGAAAATCCACCAGACGAAAAGTCTGCCACAGGTAACCACCCAGATTGTCAATATTATGATTATCACTAGAGTCATCCTTACTCCTTCCACCGATCCGCCGAGTGTGATAAAAACTATTACATAGCAGCACCTGTGAATTTGGAGCTTTACGAGTTACGACATGTGGGACAGGTACATATGTACATTATATAATATGGTAAAATGATTACGTTTTGACGTCAAAATCACAATTACTTCAGCAATATTTCAATTTGAACATGCAATTTCTACAAACCGATCTTGTAGGTACCACACAAATAATCTGAACATAAATTTTCAAGGGAAAAGAGCTAAAGGATACCAACATTTTGTTTGCTACTCCTGACCTAACATTTTGGAGGGTATAACAGAGTCAATATTTTTAATTAGTCCTACGAAGGTGACTTTTCTCCTCGGAAATGATGAGTTATTGTGACGTCTGTCTTTACCAATACATAATCAACCAAAAATGTGTCACGACGCGGTGGAATCAGGGGCTCGTCAATTTTTGGGCATATGGAGTTATGTTTATCATCTTAAAGCTTGTTCATTTGCCTCGCTTTTGATGAAAATAATATGTATTTATCCTGAATAGAAGTGGAGATATTTGTGATTGAAGAAGATGGGGTGGCTAGGTGTCAAGGGTAAAATTAGCGAGAAAATGACCGCCAAAGTTTGATAATTTCAAAAGGTTGAGAGTCCTTGAAAACAATGAACTTACTTATTCTGTGCCTTTAATCAACGTTTTTCAGTAGAATTCACATAATATCATGTTTTTAAATGGACACGAAGGGTGTTGGGCCAAAAACCAAAAATTCGAGAAAAAAATTGCCAAACTGGTGGGAAAATGCCTATGTGAGGCAGCGTGGTGGAATCAGGCTCTCGTCAATTTTTGCGCATGTAGAGTTATTGGTATCATCTTAAAGCTTGTTCATTTGTCTTTATTTGGATGAAAAAATATCCTTTTATCTTAAATAGAAGTCGAGATATTTGCGAATGAAGAAGGTGGGGGTCACCTGTTTTCAGAGGTCAGATTAGTGAAAAAATGACAGCCAAAGATTAGTTATTTCCTTAGCTTTAGAGTCCGTGGTAACTGAAAATTTACATTTGTTGTGCCTTTAATCAATGCTTTTCAGAAAAATCCACACAGAAATGAGTTTTTTAATGGGCATGAAAGGTGTTGAGCTCAAAAACAAAAAATTGATAAAAATTCACAAACCTGCGGAAAAATGCAAGTTTCTTCACTTTGATTATTTTGACTACAGCCTGATTCCACCATGCTTCCTCTCATATTCATTCGATTTCCGAATTTTGATGGGGGCCTGATTTCACCACGATTCCCCACAAATGTATACGATCTCCTTTACCCGTGATTTTCCTGACAATTAAGGGTGTGCTGTTTGACAACGCAATTTCTACCCTGAGGTCGGACTTTGAACACCATTCTCATAAAAGTAGCTCTGAAAGCGGAACTCATTTTGAGATAGACGAAAAAGTTGATACAACAGTTGTTGATGACACAGAACACCTGAATAAACATGGTGACAGCGTGGAGGAGATTGTGGTACGCTTCGAACGGATAGAGTTTGGGTTCGAGTCCCACAGCGATGCCCATGGTCCAGTGTGGGATGAGGAAGAGGATCATGTAGACTGCCATGACAACCACCAGCATCTTGGTGATCTTTCGTTCTTTCGTCGAGATTACGTCATGGCTTTTTGCCGATGAAGCGGAAACGTTTGGGACCATGTTGGCTCTGAACTTAACCGACTTCTTAAGAGCGTAAGAGATGGCTATAGTGCTGATGATGATGATGAAGAAGGAGAGATTAGGACAGACTATCAAAGCGGCGTAGTAAGCGGTCTCTAGTTCGGTATTAGGCCGTGTTTTGATGACAAGAACAGACTGGTTGAACTGAGAACTGAAAACGGAGACGAGTGTTGAAGTGGAGAAACTGCTAATCATCCAACAGAACACGAGCACAGAGATACTGACCACGAGAAGGACAGTGCGGCGGGCCGTGAGCAGAGACTTAGCTCGGAACGGACACGTGACAAAGATACATCTACTCACGCCCAGAAACGCTGCCAGACAAAGAGAGACAACCGATCCCACAGTGTCCAGAGATCGGAACACAAGAGTAGCCACGCTGTTGAAGCTGTGAGCTGCGGCCGGCGCGTAGAGTCTGACCAGAGGCACGTAGGTGGTCATGTGGAGAGACAAGCAGACGACAAAGTCCCAGAACGCGATACTGAACAAAGTGATCGTGACATTGTCGCCGAACCTCTGCCGGACGAACACGGCCATGACCAGAATGTTGACCACCATGCCTACCACGCTGAACAACATCCCAATTGACACGCCAACGACAAGCTCCAGTAGCTGGAGTAAGTGGTCGCTCAAGATGCGTTCATTATATAGGAAATCTGTGACATGTGAGGACTCGTTCGGAGATTTATCGTCAAGCCAGGAACTTTCCGGATCATTGACGGCAGCCATGACACCCAGAGAAGAAGTTAGTGACCGCCTAAAGACAAACGTGACTGATTGTACTCGTTTGTTTACCCCTACAAATTACAGCAATTTTTTAAAAAAGTCCTACAAGTAACAAGAAATTTAAAGTACTGCGCCAGCTCCAAATTTATCAACCTCACTAAAAATCTGGAATGAGCAATCCGACGCTCACTTCTCGCAGACTTGCAACAAGACAACAACTTGATTATATTATAGTTATATCCATGCAGTGACCGCAATCTAAAAACCTTAAATAAGCCTTAAAAATGACACGTCCAATTTCAAATTATCAACCCTACGAAAATTTTGAATGAATATTCCAACAAAAACTGCAGACTTAAAACAAGGCAACAACTTAATTATATGTTGACCTATGCAGAAATTGTTATTCAAAAACCTAAGATAAACCTCAAATTTGAAACATCACATTAATTTGGAATTAACAATCTTACAACAGTATCACAAGAACAATTTCACAAAAGTAACAAACCATGTAGAAACTTCAGCATTTAGAACCCCTCGACAACCTTAATCTTATAACTCAGCAGTTCACCTAGCATTGGTAACCCCACAAGAGTCGAAAACTCATGACTCAATTCCGAATAAGTATCTCAACAATTTTGAAATAACCCTGACACAAAAAGTCAAACCTAATGTGAGAAAATGGTTCAAACGCCGCAAAACCTACTTTAGAACCTAGTAATCTTACAACTGTGTACATAAACATCCAATCCTTATTCTCCGCTGTGATTGATAACCATGAGGTCAAATCGACAACCCCAGGAGTTCAAATCAATAAGAATTGATTAAACAATCAATCAGTAAAGATAAAAATGTGAGGGCAAAGTCTAAAGACTGAATTCCAATTTTAAAAAAAAGCAAAAATGACAACAAGGTTTCAAAAGATCAATGGAAAATCCCAAAGGAAGATGACGTTAAGAAGCTGGAAACTGTCCTGGAGGAAAAAGTCTCACATTTCAGAAATTCGTCTCGCCGAGCTGGTCTCTCGTCGTCGTTTTTTGCCAGTCAGCTGTTTTCAAAACTCTGAGGGGTAGACAACAATTCGTTTTGATGTTATGACTACATGGAATATGGTGTCCAATGAAAATCACAATGAATATTTGATTATTACATATTATCTTACCATAA